CTCTCCCACGTGAAACCGACCAAACTAACGTTAGGGAACAAGTAACAGGTTTATTCCGTGCTGAAAAGAGAAGAAAGAAAACGCAACGTTTTGGCTGTGCATGCAGCCTCCTTCGGGTGCCGGCACCTTCACATCCGAAGAAGGCTCCACAGCCAAAATGTTGCGATTGCAGCCAAAGCACACTGATGCAGCTACCCACCAAAACTAACACTAGTCAACCAAAAAGGTAAAGGCAGCAAAAAATTCCACTCTAAAGCAAAAAGTCATTCATGAGATTTATGGAGAAAACCTGCCTTTTCATACTGTATGACTAATGCAATATCAAAAGAACTAATGGCACTTTGCACATACAGTGTCCTTCAAAAGTATTGGGAAAGTGAGGTTCAATCTTATTTCTGCAATACATTCAAGCAAATTGTATTCAAGATCATGAAATTAATATGAATGTTAAGCACGATATGTTACAAATTTATTTTGTGGTAATTAAAAGTAATTAAGTAATTACTTAAGAACTAGAGGGCAAAAACACTCCGTTCAACCCAGTGAGGTCCAAGTGATTTCAAATAATGGATCAAAATCAAATGAAGTTCCGAGTTTAAAAGTCAGTATTTGGCTGCATGTCCCTTTCTGGGTATAACTGCATGAGGTCTGTGACCCTTTGAGCTGACCACATGCTTTGTACAATCATTTAAGATGCTTTTCTCCACGCACTTTGAGTGACTGCCTATTCTTGGGATGCGCAGGCTACACTGTTTGCCTCAGCAAGTACAGTGCATGCTCATTGGATTTACACCGGGAGATCGACTTGTCCAGTCTAAGATTGTGCACTGTTTTCCCGCTTAATGAACTCCTGGGTTGCATCGGAAAAGTCTTTTGGTGCACGGTGAACGTGAGAAGATTAAAAACAACAGGAGACACAATTTTGTTGTCGTAGTAAATTGATCAGAGGATCTCAGCATTTCTTTTAAGAAGACTGGGTATCGGCTTCAACAGCACGGCTGGGCAGCATGTGCCCTATTCCCTCTACACATTGGGTAAGGACATGCCTCCTGTTCCTAGTTTTAAACACACTTCCACTTGTTCTCTGTGGATCATATTTCACTGTTCATTCTGAAGATGTCCGCTGGTTTGACTTTGTAAGCGTATCTGAGGATTTTTAAAACCGAAGAAGTTGATAAATCGGTACAATTAAGCCAATAAGGACATGATTTAGGCAACTACGAGCTTGCAAACTTGCAGACAAACTGACCCTCCAAGACTGCAATTGTATTACCTGGGGCTACAGAACTCGTCCCACGCCTTAATAATGACTTGGTATAATTTATCGGTATGATGGAGTCCAATAAAACAGTAACGCGTCCAGTCAAGAATCTCACAACAGCCTGAGCATTCCTGCTCCTGCTGAACAATTCAAGCTGAAAACCTACAAGGGCAAGTTGAAAGAAAATACTTTTCTATGTGATCATCACGATTAGGGCTCATCCCTTCTCAAATAATTTCTGCATTAAGTGGGATTTACCACCTAATGCTCTGAAGCTATAATTTAGCTGTCTGAATCATCAAAATAGTTTCACTTTTTATAGTGTTAATTCCTACATAGTACAATAATACAAGAACAAAACCATGTGAAAAAAATACTCATTACTGTATTAAAATCACAATCAGTCATTTTAAATAGAATTAACCTAACAGACTAGACTATTAAATTTGATTAAAAGTACAAACGTTAATTTGTATTATGATTAGGGCTCCTGGTTTGTGACAAATAACACCATCCTTTAAAATGTACTGATCCGTCTCCTAATGAGGAGAATAAAAGAAGCAGCACCCGCAATGTCCACATTTTCACAAGTTATGATGTTAAACACTGCAGGTGTGTGTGTTTTGGACACCAGATGTACATCTGTGCTGAAGCAATATTTGTCTGCAGCAGTCGTGAAAGCAACTCAAAGCCCAAAGAAGCGCTGGTGTATAAATACGCTCATTGGAAGACTGACATGGGAGAAAGATTTGGGGGAAAAGCAATCGTTTTCAACCATCAGCTGCATTACAAAAGAAACTGAGCAGTGCAATCCAAACATGAACTTAAGATGAGACAACGTTATTTCTTTATTACAGAACCTTGTGCTTTAATTATCAAACAGAATTGGCTTTCTACAACCAACTCGGTTGGATACACCGTAAGCTCTGCTTATGATATTTAACTGAGCTATCCAAGCTAAAAACAGTGCACAGTCATATTCAGCACTTGAAAGTTGTCCAAATTATATTCATATCAAGTATTTAACACAATAGTCCACTCTTCAGAACGAAATAATGTTCCCCTGAACAGCTTTATGTACTATTTCATCCACCCCTTGCTACATCTTCACAGGCTCCCTCCCTTTCTTAACTCCTTTTTTAATGAATAATCAGAAATTGAGTATGAATAGTTATCCGTGAGAACAGAAATACTTTTTCCGAGCCCAGCAGTACACTATTCCTCTAGTAAAATGGTTAAAAAAAGAAAAACGATCACACCCTTATGGGAGACAACAACACTGCAGATCACTCAACATTAAAATGAGACCAGCCAAAAAAATGTTTATATTTCTTCACTTTCTCACGTTAGAAAAATCCCATTCTTACATTCAACGGTGGGTCACAACCACAGAAAAGGTACAAGCAGAGCTGTATGCCATGCATTGGTATTTTAATTTGATTTGATTATTTTTGCAATAGATTAAAGCCAGTCGAGTCCAGACCTTCTTTCTAATTTTTAGCTATTAGTCAGCAGTGCTCCCTAGTCTGATTAACTCTCTGGAAACCAGGACGAGCTCTGGCCCAGTGCACAGCCGTAGTTCAGGTGTGAGCTGTACCGTTTATTTAACACTGCTCAGTGCCTGTAGTCAGCAGCGCTGGCAGTTTCCCAAGTCTTTTGCTAAGGATCTTGGCGTTACCAGGGATCTTGCCTTCCCCAAAAGGGGATCAAGCACAGGTTCACCTGTCCACCACTCTTCTGTTCTCTTCTCTGGCATGAACTGATTCATGGGACAGAGAACAAAGCAGGCTAGCATATTTTTCTGATTTGGTAGGTTCTAGAAAAAAAAAAAACGGAAGTGCCTTAGATTTGGGCTATCATGGCTGGCGTCCTCACTGGAAATTGAGCTGCCTGATAACGGAAAAAGAAACATGACCCCCAGTCACTAGCGTGGCCCTTTTTCCTGCACAAGCTTCTAACATCCCCGTCTTTATCTGTAGATGGGAATATTTCAGTCCGGTTTCCTTTGATAGAATTATGATTAGATTCAGGGCAGCAGGTGGCGCATTGGTCAGCATTGCTGCCTTGCAATGGGGTGCTGTCTGCGTGGAGTCTGTATGTTCTCCCCAGGTTTGTGCGGGTTTCCTGCTACAGTCCGAAGACAGGCTGGGAGGTTAACTGGCTTCTGGGAAAACTGTCCCTGGTGTGAGTGTGTGTGTCTGTGTTTGTCTGTCTGCGCCTCAGTGGACTAGCGGCCTGTCCAGGGTGTACTCTGCTTTGCGCCCGTTTCTTGCTGGGACAGCCTCCAGATCCCCCACAACCCAGAATTGGAAGACACGGTTAGAAAATGGAGCAGGTCGATTAAATTTAAGAGCACGATGGCTGTCGGCAGCAGTCAACTGATATGGAGAACATTCAATTTCCCCCCTGTTACCTGCAGAATACACGATTCCTATAGTCTCAGCTAAAATACTATCTCACGTTTGGCCAAGTTTAATCCTGTGTGTAGCCTAGTATCCAGAATGTTCCTGATTTAACTCTAACCTGTCTGAACAGGCTAAAACTAAAACTCAGCAGGGATTAACTTGAGCGCTTAAACAATACGAAAGCACTGATATTATTATTAATCTAGGGACATTTTATATTTGTGTTGTTTAAAAAACTCTACAGTTTTATTTTTGCTCTAGTAGGTAAATCTCAAAATAATCCTTATCACTTTGCAGCAGGCAGACATTCCTGTGGCTGGTTTAATACAATAAATCTTGTGTTCATTAATGCTGTATAAAAAAGTGATATGACTGTTGGCACCTGAGATCCTTTAATTTCCCTATATTACCCATGAATCACAAATTCCTGAAATATTTACTTCTGTGTATGGGGAATTTCTTTGTGATTTGACTAACAAGAAAAGTATCGACCAGCCCTGCTAAAGTAATATCTCCCTCCCTCTGTGCATTCACCAGTGTAAACACTACTTGCAAAAGTCAGGACTTGGCCTTGTCTGCACTGAGATCAGATAATTGCATATTTGTAGGTGGGACTACAACTTCATTAATATTGGCCTAAGTAATTAACTGGAGGTATAATTTACCTTGGATTATGTATTAAAAGCTTGCAGACTTCTTTAATGCCGATTTCTGATGACAATGTCTCATGGTCTGTGCAGTACAAAAGGGGTTTTCGAGCTCAAGGAAATGCTGTTTTGTAATTTCATAACCTACCATTTTTAGGGTCGGTTAAGAGATACTCCCTCACTGAAACGATGCCCCAGATAATTTACATTTCTACATTACCGCAGTTCAAGAACAAAAATCCTTGCATACGAACCCGATTTGTTTGCCTCCTTCTTTAGCACAGCACCATTTAAAACCACAGAGACATCTGAACTCGGACCAGCAGTTAAAAGAAAGTTTCGTTATGATTATGGTTAGATCATTTGAAATCTTAGTTGCAACATCTTTAGCAATACTGACAATGACGGCAGCAAGCTTTGAAACGCAAATAGATATTAAATATCTATATTTAATCGAGTCTACGTGGAGTTTTGTACGTTTCCCCCCCTTATTTAACGCCTGACTGACTTTGGTCTAACGTAACACCGTCACAATATATTACAATGTAAACTGCTTAACTTTAAATTGAAATTGTGAGGCGAAAAACGCTCAGTCACTTAAAACGGGGAGGTTAAGGAAAAGCACATGAATGGTTATTCTACCACTGTGTATATGAAGCGCTCCTGAATTTGATGAAGCAGGCTTACATTTCAAAAAGTGAGGGGACCTGATCGGATTCGGCCAAGACTGACTCGACCGTGGTCTAGCGGCTCCGCAGCCCGGGTGCAGGGGTTCTCCTTTGGGTCACTCGATAACTGGAGCTCGATGTTGTAATCGCCAAGCAGGGGCCTACAGCGGGATTTAACAAACATCGCACACAGCCTTTAACATTCAATTTAAGAAGTGGGACGTTACTAACTGTGCCACTGTAGCGTCTTGTGGCCATCAAATTGTGTTAAATTAACCGTTTGTCTAAGAGAATAAAACAGCCACACTACAGTATATATTACGTTACCCCCACGACTATTAAAAAAACATCTAATCGTCATTACCAGGCAAACTAATTCCTTATATTAAAACGACGTGTGCCCCTAATTTAAATCCAGGAATTGTAGCAAGTGACCGTCACCTGTCGTAAAACTATCAAAGGACATTTTATCTTTAAAAGCCCCATAAAGTTATTAACTCCAAACCCAACAACACAACAGACCACAGCGGTTTACATGCCGTGCAGAACAAAGTCCAAGCGGCAGCGATATTCACCATTCATCAGGGCACATGGATGGGAAGCCAGTCGTGATACTCCAAGAGTTGATCCATGATGCTTCAAGAGGAAATGTAAACGATGCTCTTTATTCTCATTGCGCAAACTGCTTCAGCCTTTCCAGGAAACTTGCAAATGCTGTGAGTAGAGCCTGAGGTGCAGAAGGGAGCATTATCTGCCCGTGAACGAACAAAATAAAAAGTCAAACGGTACAAAGATTATAGCGACCTCTACGGCGTTTGGTATTTTTAAAGTACACTGTTAGAAAAACCTTCTGCCTGGTGGTTATTTATTTATACTCCACAAATCTAAATCAATCCGCCTTAAACGCAAAGGGGCAGGAGCCCTCTTTCTGCACCGTGTAAAAGCACAAGAGCGGAGTTTCGCCGCCCTACAGCCCTCAACACTACCTCCATCTTGCGGTAAGAATCCGTTTCTTGAAGCCGAACAGACCTCTGGAGCTACTGTACACTTAACGCAAGACAGCAGAAAATCACAACACGGGATGTCTCATTTCGGAAACGTGCTCCAGCTGCCGGAAATTGGCTGCAATATCCAATACAAAACAGCTAAGACGGTGTGACCCTAGACAGATCATATAAAGGGCACTGACTTATTTTTCCATAAGCTCACTTTTCAACAAATCTAGGCTCTAATCAGTGTCCTGTATCGCAGAAATGCCTCTGGTGCTAAGTCAGCAAACATCATGCTCTACTGACCACAACCTGCCTCTGTTGTTATTACCTCTCAGACCAGGGAGACCTCTTGTGCTCTGGCAGGCTAGATAAGGTCTCCATTCAGCACTGAAGAGGAGCACTCTTCCATGCTCCCTAATTTATGATATTTTAAAAAATATTATTGAAAATGCTAAGCTACAATTACACAGCTAAAATACCTACAGTAATACAATACGACATGCGGATCCAGTATTCAATGGCAATCAGTACAAAGTGTCATGCTTCTGCGCTCTGTAGCGTGTCAGTTTGTCAGATGCACGTCAATAAGTTTTTCACAAAATTTGTTTATACTAAAAATACTAACAATACTAACAAAAATAGAGATGGGCAGAGAGAATGTGAATGTTAATGTTCAAGAATGTTAAGAGAGAGGGTGTCCAGTCCTTGTCCTGTAAGGGTCAATGTGTCTGCAGGGTGTCCAGTTCTGGTGCTGGAGGGTCAGTGTGGCTGCAGGGTGTCCAGTCCTGGATGTTTATGGGTCAGTGTGTCTTCAGAAGGGTCCAGTTCTGGTCTTGGAGGGTCAGTGTGTCTACAGGGGTGTCCAGTCCTGGTCCAGTCAGTGTGTCTGTTGGTTTTCTAGGTCTCTATAAAGCAACAGCAGCTGAAGAGCTGGGAGAAGCTGGTAAATTGGTCAAATAACTAGCTGGTTTAGCTTGCTGAGATTTGAGTTGGAATGAAAACCAGTAGGCACTCCAGCCCTGGCTCTCCTAGATCAGGATTGTGATCCCTGAGGAAAAAGAGTATGTAATTTGTATATCATTTGAGGAACATTGCGTATAAGCTTACAGCTTCCACGTGTCCATTGGTTTAAAACATTGGAAAAGTAAAAGGTAACTATGACTATAAAGTTCAAGATCCCCTTAAATTTGAACTGTAAGGTCAACTAAAGGTCAGGACTTTATGTTCATTCAGTAAAAGGAGGAGCAGTCATTTGTATAATCGAAAGATTCGAATTTTCATACTGATTTAAAGGATCTAGACAACCAAGGCACGCCGGAAGGAAACCTAACTTCACTTTAAAGTAAGATGGAAAACTAAATATGTTACATTTCAAACGTTTGAACTGCCACTCAAAGAGAGACCGAGGTTGCACTTGCAGTTTTTGCGCAGTCGAGGATGTTGTAAAAATGTACTTCCACAGTACTATCATGGCCTATTTCAAACATGTGGTGGAACAGTGTTTACCATTGCTGCCTTGCAGCACTGGGGCCCTGGGTTCCATTCCTTGAGTGCTGTCTGTGTGGAGATTGTATGTTCTCCCTGTGTGGTTACTCTCTGGCTGTGGTCATGTCCTGTGGTTGCCACCCCCACAGTCCAAAGTCACACTGGTCGTTTATTTGGCCTCTGGGAAAACTGGCCTTGGTGTGAGTGTTTGCGTCTGTGTGTGTGCCCTGCAATGGACTGGCGTCCTGTCCAAGATGTATCCTGCCTTGCGCCCACTGCTTCCCAGTTATACGCTCTGGCTCCCTCAGGACCCTGTTTTGGAAGGAGTGTCTCCATCACACAGCTTAACAAGCAGATGAAGAGTTTAAGACGATGGAACTGTCCATATATACTGTTACGGGCACCGCCGGACCTCGTTAATTACCAATCAGCATCAGTATTTGAGAATATAATTTGTCATTTAACAAGACACTCCAATATGAACATGGCTTCTGAAAAGATTTCTTGTGGCTAATTTTTACATACTGTAGAGTGCTTAGAAACCTAACAAGTCTCCCACAGATCTGATGAGCTGGCGATGTGCAGAATTCCCCCGGTGTGCTTACCCACTTAACCTCACATTTGAGAAGTGTGGTAGCATAAAAAGAGGATGTACATACAGTACATCCCTCGTGGCCTGCCCCCCCTCCCCTTCCAGTACAGCTGTGTGTCTGACGAGCATATTAACTGGTACAGTCACTAAACAGTGACGTGGTTTCCATTATAAAATAGAAATGCAACGAAAATGTAAAAGCCTCAGCCCTGAAACTTGTGATTTTTCATCAAAAAAAGGGAACAAGGCTAGCAGTTTGTATAAGATGGCATGCTGTGTTTTTTTTTTTACCATTTCTTATGGGAAATGTGTTCGCGTGGTGAGACTGGTTTAGATTCTGTTGCTTCGACTGACTGCGCTGACCCTTGAAGGTTCTAAGAAGAAGGAAGCCAGTCGTTTTGACGTTGTCTTTCCTTTTTAGGTATAGGAGGAAATGAATGAATGACAAATGTTTGACTTCATTAATCCAATCAACACTAACCAAGCAATATAGATACGTTTATATTCCTATAATAGATATCATACCTAAGTATTATAACTATTTGTGGTAAAATTGGAAAGCATGTTCCTTTCAATCACAAAATGAAATAAAGCATTAAGCAACATCTTTTTAATTATTTGATACATTTATTACTCACAAAAATAATATATAAAATGAGCTAGTGATGATTTTTGTAAAGACATTACAGGATAAAAGCAATCGAGCAAAGAGCCATCCGCCCATTATATGAAAAAGAGAACAGGCTCAAAAATGCAATATGTGAACCCCTTTCTTAACATTTAACTCTTGCTACTATTTCCGACTGCATAGTAGCAATGCATTAAATCCGCTTCACACCTCAGGGAGCTTAAAGAGAACAGAACCGTTTCTCATTGAAAGAAACTGGATCGTTCAGAGATTCCAGGCAAGATCACAAAGCCCTTGTTAGACACATTGAGGAAACAGGTCTTTAGCAAAAGGGCACAAATAAAAGAACAGCCAAGACTGCCAGGCCTAGCACACAAGAGAACTGGATTTGAAGGCACAATCGACAGGTAGCACAGTCCCAGCTGAAGCGCTTCCAGCTTAGCTTGACGTGTGGCCTGGCATCCGGTATCTCACATGTTTCCAAAACCCTGAGTTGGGTGACATTTCTCCTTTCCATTTCAGAGGTCTTCTCTTCTGAATAACGTGTTGGAGAGTGACGGGGAGATGCTCATAGCTAACGAACTTTTCAAGCTCAATCATGATGGCCTTCATTTCCTCTTGAACCAGGGCAGTGTACAATCCAAATTTTCTATCAAACACCTCTTCAGAGGTCTCCTCTGATGCAGATCCAGGAAATAAAATGAAGATGAGCCTTCTGCTCAGCTTTATACTGGTTTCCATTATCTCAATGAGATCTGTACACAAAACGAGAAACACTGTTGTCAGAACTACATAGTTTCATGTTAGCTTAAGGAGAAAATGAAAAGAAAGATGCTAACATGCTCGATAACAACTTCAGATTTTAGGATGGAACTCTGAGGGTGAATCTGAATTATAATCCACGTAAGCAGACTGATGCACGAAAGAAATGCATCGCTGACGTCTAAGTGAATTTTATCATATAGTATCAACTGACAGCAAACAAAATCGCAGAACTACAGTAACTGAAATGTAGAAAAAAATGTGTCTTCCTGCACATGAAAGCAAAGCCTGCATTCCTGCTCAGGGCTGATCATCCTCTGGGCTGATAGCTGGGAAATGTTCTGCCACACTTCCTGGTTCACATGTCTTCTGTCCTGTTGTTGAAGGACAAGACAGCAGTTGGGGAATTAATACCCCATCACCACTTAAGATGTTCTGTGGGCCACAGAGGTTGTAGATGCCAACATATTAGCCCAGCGTGGTCCCTGGCCATGTAAATCATTTTCATGATCATGGTGGGCTGCAGTCCTCCTGTTAATGCAGGGTGCAAGAGCACCGCCAGTCCAGAAAGCATGGCAGCCTTGTCTGGACCACATTCCCCAGAAGCCTTTGCAGAAT